GTCATGATCTGTTGTTGTTTGCCCTGAGGCTTCTACCGTTGGCTTTATAGCCTCTACCGTTGGCCCTAAGGCCTCTACCGTTTGCCCTAAGGCGACTTCCGTTGGGGTTGTTATCCCCTCTAGATCATTTACATCAGCATGTTCTGCCATAATGGACAGTGAATCGTCTTGAACGCTTTCGCTATGGTCTGTATGCTGATCTTGTGTGAAAAGTCGGCTTTCTATCACTGATATGCGACTATTATTCGCATTAAGCGATTCCTGGAGATCTTTTATCGCTGAAAGGACTTGGGATACATCGTCAGAAGACTTATGTCGCTTGGCGGGAGGAGATTTACTCCTTCGAGGTGACAAATCGTGTTCGACTGAGTCACGCCGCATTTCCCTGTGGCGGGAAGAGTGTTGAGATCTTTTACGCTCAGAAGGCATTGCTCTGAAATATAAAAAATTATGCAAAACACAAGAAGTAATATCCCTTAAGATATTTAGAGTAAAATAACTGAGGTTAGTGAACCTAGGATGGGATAAAAAAGGTATTTCATAGAGAAAATACAAACTTACCTGTGGTCGCGAAGCACAAAGGAAAGAATGGCTATGCTTAGTAGCCGCGCCTCTGGTGTCGCGGGGGAAGCTGGGATTACGTCATACTTAATTGTTTTTGCATTTTTATGCGTTAAAGAGTGGTCCGAAGCACAGTAAATGGAAATATTCCTGTTATTTTCTCATATATTTCGAACGGAGTTTGTGAAATATAATCATTGAAACTGTTACTATGACAACCACAACTCACAACTATTACAGTCAGACTATTATCACAGCCTTACCCTAAAGAAAATCATCGAAATCAAAACTTCCTGCTTGGCATCGCGTAGGATGAGATAACTAGAAGGGCGAAAACAAAGAACAAGAACTTGAATTAAAAGGCCATATTATTCTACTGGCGAATCAAAAATAACGCCTTACTATAGTCTACTAGAAAGGCCCAAATGGGATATTGAAAATTCGAGGTAGCAAAAAAAAACTGATACTAAAACTGATACTTATAAAAGCTGTTCAATTTATTCGCCATATTTTTAAACGGCTGGTCGTTCTCGTGCAACGTTCGTATAGAAATGATCTAGATTAATTAACGTACTCGATCCTATTTATTCAATTCTTTTAACCTTTTCTTCAAAAGGCGTTCAAATGGGAAGGAGCCCGCGGTACACGTGGCAAAGATTACCCACAATGCATCGTAAACCAATCAAAACATAACGCGTGTAAATATTATGGGGGTCTTATAATCGCTCGTTAAAAAATCCCATTAATACTGTACTAACTCTCTTGAGAATTTCTATTTCTATTTGAACAGTTGTCTTTGATGATGCAGTTCGATGTGCGAAGGTAAGGTGGCTTTTATTGAATTTACAATCCAAGTTTACAACTGTTTATAACCTGGCTCTACAGTTGAGCGCCTTTTTGAAGAGTTGCCCAGGTCATTTCGGCATAATTTTATTCATTTAAACTGAGTCAGATTCCTTGTATGATTAATGGAAGATACGGTAATAGATTATATTGTTAAGTTTTAATGTAAGCTTTCTATTTGTGGAGAACATATAGTTATAAATATTATTGTTTTGCTTCGGGCAGGTGTCTATGATATGGTTTGGGGATTTACAAACTGCTCTTTCGTAAAAATCTTTTGTTGGTACTCCTAAAAGCTAGATTATTTTTTGAATTGTTTTCTACTCTCTTGAGGATGGAAAGAATTAAAAAACGCATTAATGTGGAGAATACATGAGAATATAAGATTGGTTAAGATATTTAATTCATCAAAATAAAAAAAGCTGAGATGTAAGTTAATAAGAGTTGCTAACCATCTGATCTCTTGTTTAATATAAGCTTAAAAGGTTGACAAACATAAACCCAGAGTTTTCTGCAAGTGAAACTAGAGTATGAATCTCATCTACACTTAAATTTCAGTATAAGTAACGTTAAGTTAAAATGTTAAATTTGTGGCATACTTTTTCTTTTACACAGACTTGATATCTACAGGAAAGTCCCCAAGGACTTAACTGAGCCAACAACTACAGGAGCAGTTAGTAAGTAAATTTTTTTGCATTATATATGTGGTACGCACATTTTGCAAAAGATTTATGCAGTTTCTTGAGTAGCACCTTTCTGCAAACACAAACTCCCACTTCTATTCGTCTGTTTTCAGTAACTCACATCTCTTTGTCTGATCTTGAAAGTTTCTTAGTGCAGTTGATGTATTATTCTCTTCCCAATAACCCCATCCCTCCTCCTCCCACCCTCCTCTCTCATAGGCAGCCTAATTCAAAGATAAAGATGTAAAGTTCTATTTTTATTTCTTCATTTTATTACAGTATCTGTCCTAAGCTGTTTGTTTATGACGTTCCTGTTCCTGTCTGAATTCTACAGTTTTATTGGCACAGAAATGTAAGAATAGCCTGATGATAATTTGTAATAATGATATATGGATCATACATTTGCATGTCAGATTATCTTGTTTACATCCATTCCCACATCTGCCCCTAAGGCAAAAATTGCAGGGGGGGAGGGGTGGGAATGGATGTATACCTTCTACTATCAGATATTCATTATAAAACTCATTAATATTCATAAGGCAAAACACAATAGRAATCATAGCCCATGAAGAGAGTTGTATATTACATACAGATTTCTTGTTCATTTGCATAAACTTTAACTCTGATTTTCTCGGTCAGATTGATTTTTTTTTTCAAAAGTTTCTTTAAAACCTGAGCTAGTTTACCTCAACGTTTCATAAGTAATATACAATATTCGCGCGCGATCTGTATGAGGTTTAAAACAGCTCGCTTTCAGCTCGCTGTTTTAAATCCTCATACAGATCGCCCGCTCATATTGTATATATTACTTACTGTATACAGGCCAAAGGCCTGGACATGGTTATAAAATGCAATAATATTGAGAAAAGATACAGAACTTAAGTTAACATCATTTTGTTGTATTCCAGAGTAAGTGAGCTGTTTGTAGACAATCCGTCTGGTAGCAACGAATTACCAGTTGAGCTCAATATAACACTGCCAAGAATTAGATGTGATTGTAAGTATAGTTTACAACATGAGCGGCCGTGTTGTATGGGAATTATAATCTCGAGCCGCAGGCGAGAGATTGTAATTCCCATACAWCACGGACGCGAATGTTGTAAACGACTTATAAAACTCCAACACAAATTAACATGAATTACAGCGAGATAAATGACGAAAAATGACAAATAAGGTAACTGCTGAGTTTAGTCCCTATTAAGCATGCGCAATTTACTGCAACACAGAACATTTTGAATAATTATCCATCCCACATGGAAAGCAAGCCATCTGTTGCATAAGCGAGTTCTGTTATCCGTCTTTGATTGCTTCAAAACCTAGTGAAGGTCTATGATGCGACACTAAAACTGAGACCTTTGCTAGTGTTGGGTTGTCTCAATGGTGACGACCGTGTTGTAAATCTGATACAACCACTAGTGGTTGTATCAGATTTACAAGGTCAATCACCTGATTAAATGGTCAGCCCTTATTGGAGCAATAGCTTATGCATTATTAATAAGTTTTATAAGTTACCATAATTTTGGTGTATTTCTCATATTGTTCTTACTTACTTGGATTTCAATTTTGTGTCCACAGTTTTAGGTCTTGATATTCAAGATGAAATGGGACGTCATGAAGTTTCTTTCCAGCAGAATATTGAACGAATACCAATTGATGGAGGAGGTATGTTTTTATCCGTAAGTGACAAATTTAGGATTTATTTTTAGTGAACAATGAATGAAAGAAATTAATAGGTAATTTAAACAAATCAATGGATGAGCAAATGGATGGGCAAACAAATGAATGGATGAACAAATGAATGGATGGACAAATAGAAGGATGAACAAATGAATAGATGAACAAATACATCAGTGAACAAATGAATGGTTAAGCAAATAAAAAGATGCTGAACAAAAATGAATAAATGGATCATAATGAAATGAATAATTGGATGGACAAGCAAATGAATAATAAATGAAAAATAAATAAATGGATAAGTAATCAATTTATCAATAGATGAACATCAAAAGTAAGCAAAATTAAAGTGTTCATTGTCCTTTTTACTATTTTCTAAGAAGGCTAACAATAATATTTCTTTTCTCACAAATCATTTTTCAGAGGGATGCCAATTTCAAGGACATTTTAACATAAATAAGGTAGAACTTTGTAAAATGCCTAGGAATGTACATGGAATTTACTGAATTTTGACATTTTTCTGTGAAATCAAGTAGGGGACTAGGTTGAAAAAAGTATTGGAAAAATATTTGCTCCCTAAGACATGTCAAGACAAACGTTGCCAGTATGACATGGAATATGGAGCAACTTGCTTTGTAAAAAAGGTTGTTGCAAGTACTAGTGAGACACACAGGCTAGACATCAATTTCGCAGTTCTTTTGACTTTGCTTGAGTTTTCTTTATATTGATAACAACAACAGCAAGAACCATGACAGAAACCACTACAGTAACCACATAGACAGCAACAACTACTACAACATCAATAACAACAGCAACAATAACAACTTACATTAACAACAACAGCAACAATGGCAACCGCAACAACATCATCAAGAACAACAGCAACAACAACAACAACAATGGCAACTGCAACAACATCAACAATCACAACAAAAACAACAACATTAATTAGTCATCCTTACCTTTCCATATTCCAAACTATTTCTGATAATTTCACAGATATACTACATCATATAACTTCAAATATCCTCTTTGTTAGGTTCCTGGAAATTTTCATATTTCAACACATGGTGCAGGACGGCAGGTAAGTTAATAGATCTAAAAATGGTTTTATCACTAGCGGAAAATATTTAAAAAGAGGAAAAATAACAGGGAAGATCACTTTTAACATGCTTTCATTTTTTTTGTAGCCAGATAATCCAGACATGGCTCATACTATCAACTCTCTGAAGTTTGGTGAACAAATTATGGTACTTATTTCAATAGAGTTTTTCTAATGCAATATTTATGCAACTGCGACCCCATCCAATCAGTCAGCAATCCCTCCATCCCATCCTCTCACCTGTTCATTGAGAATGGAAGAAATAAATGTGTCATTTATATTCTAGATATATGATAAAAGTGTTTACGTTTTATTTTATTTTATTTTTATTTTTTTAGGAAAAGATCCCTGGTGCATTCACAGCTTTACAAGATCATGACAAACAAGATGCCAATGGTAGGTCAGGCTCAATTGTTTTGGGTTTGTAATTGTGTATATTGTTTGGTATTTATTAACATTTCTGTGTATTTATTTTCCCTAGCCCTTTCTTCACATGACTACATCTTAAAGATTGTTCCAACCATCTTCCAAAAACTTGACGGTACAACTAAGTTTTCCTATCAATACACATGGGCCTACAAGGTACAAGAAAAAGACTGAACTAGAACACATAAGATAATTTAGCATTGATTGGATATATGTGACAAATTTAGTGAACTCTATAGGCCTGTTTTCACAGCTGATAGACTTCAACTACTTGAGCAAGTTTTATGTCGTTTCAGACCTCTTAAGGCCCGTTAATGCACTTGCGAATTCTGAAGCGCGATTGTCGCCTGAGCTTTGAACATGCTTGAAATTTTTGATCGCAGGGTACATGTACGATTTGAAGTGCGCGAGAACAAAGTAACCTTTAGGAGTAGAATTCTTTGTTTTACTGCCATCTCTATAGACATGAATCTTTAATTAGATTCCTGTGGCATATAAATTAAAGTGGGACAAACATTCCCCAAGTAGGTCTTATCTATTCAGTGACAATTTCTAGAAATTGCAATTTAGTAGCATAACAAAATCATGTGAGTGAAGGAAAATATCTAAACTTAGCTTGACTTTTTCATGCAGGACTACATCACATACTCACATGGGGGTGCTATTCTACCAGGTAAGTCACAAATGTAACATTCTTAGACTGCTTGGGCTTCCTTTGGAGAATGGATGGATGGGGGGGATGTATGCTCTTTCAAAGCAAAAAAATTCTAAAAAGTAAAAATTGTCAAAATGTAGATTTTTTAACTTTGACTTTATCAGAAATTGAAACTAGGTTCTAGCTTCTCCGTGATGGGATTCATTGCGTAAAAAAAAAATCAATTTTATGTCATAGTGAAAATTTTGAATGTGAAGATCCCCCCTGCTGCTTATGACAAATTCCTGATTATTCTGTAAACCTCGCACTCCTGATAAAGCTAAATTGATTCATTGTTAATTAGTTAATTACGACGTTGTATAATATTGTTGATAACCAGACGCTATAACAACGATTGACTTGACTTTCAAAGAAAATAAACACATACAGTCAACTCTCGCTATTACGGACACCCTTGGGCAGTAGCGAGAGTCCGTAGTAACGGGAGTTAATTTCAGTCATTTCTTTGTATTTTTTTGGTCTGGGATTCAGTATTTTACTGTCCGCAATATCGAGGTGTCCGTTGTAGCGGGGTGTCCGTAAGGCGAGAGTTGACTGTAGTTATATCGTTGTGTCTTTTAGCGACATGGTTCAGATATGATCTCAGTCCCATCACCGTCAAGTATATTGAGAGAAGGAAGCCTCTCTACCATTTTATCACTACAGTAAGTTCATTGATACATACCTTTAGCAAGCTCGTACCCAGTCGTTTCTCTTGCTCGTTTTACGGGTCGCACTGCATCAAGGGAAGTCCGAACTACCGACTTCACTTGATCCTTTGCGCGCGCCAGAGAAAAAACAAGAGTAACGAGTGGATACGAGTCTGTACCTCAGTCCGTGAAACTTAAAAATAGTCCTAAATAGGTGCTATGGGATTTAATTTCGCGAAATCGGAACAGGCATATTTCGCAGGCATTTTAAAATTTCTTGAGTCTTTTTCATCACGAAACAGTTGTAAATTCGCGAATATCAGGCATATTTCGCGAGCATGAATTTTCACTTTCGAGGGTCAGCAAAAATCGCGAAAATTGCAAAATTAAAGATTTGAGATTATTATTGGGAATAAGGTAGCTATGATCTTGGACCATTCAACCATTTCTTTTCATATACACATTCGGTTATACGTAAATACACCGAAATACACCCTAATATGAAGTCGCACAGACCCACCAGACCCACCACCCGTCGCTCCCCAGAGGTCTGCGAAAATTCGAGGCACAACCCTCAATAATTGTTGTGAGAATTTTGGTTGATACTTTTTTTTATCTCTTGACAGATATGTGCTATTATTGGTGGAACATTCACTGTTGCTGGAATCATAGACTCTAGCATTCTTACAGCCACTGAAATGTTCAAGAAACACCAACTTGGAAAATTAAGTTAATGTAGAAGACAAAGTATAGGTTTCTTTAATTTGAGCAGGCCACTCCATGTTCTTTATCACAGAGGAGCGAATTCAAATCATACTTTTGAAACTTCGCCGTTAGAACTATATGAAGGCTCTATGAATCTGGCCAATGTAGTAACATTATTTTACCCTGGCTGGACATCTTCACTATAAACTTCATTTTCAGTAAAAGAATCACCAATGTGAAATTTTTCATGAAAATGTTTTGACAAATTCGTGAAGAGCATTTCGCGAGGATTTGAATAATTCGCGATTTTGAAAGAAAAGTTGAGCTGTTGTTTTTAGATTTCGCGATTATTTAAAGTAGTTTTAACCTCGTGATAGTTTATTTCGTCGATCTGCATATGAGGCGGAATTATCGCGAAATAATGATTTAAGTCGCGATATAATGCAGGATTAAACGGTATTTTGCATCAATGAAGTTTAGGAACATTTTCGCCTTTGATTTAGGAAAACCTACGTCAATCTTTGAAGTATGAGTGGTATTTTAAGTGAGATATCGCACAACAAGCATCATTAAACCCCGTACCCGACCCTGGGTCCGAGCCTTTACAGCGCCATTGATTTTTCGGTTTCTTAGATTATTTATAACATTTTTTAATTTAAAGTTTAGTTATATTAGATATGCATTATATTGGTAGACGTTTATTAAAATGTAACATAAATATTTCCCCTGTTGTTGTCGTAAACTCCTCTGCCGTAGTTTGTTTACATTCAAAAGTCAAATCCCAATGCAAACAATGGGGTGATGGTAGATGTAGTCCTCGTACTTTTTCATGTCCGCTGAAACAGCCATCCTGAATTTTTTTTTTTCTGAATTCATTGGTTTTTTTCTAAGCCAAAGTAGATGTTGTTTTGCCTCACAGAAAGTGTTAAAATGCCTTTTTACTTTGAGATGTATGGTTTTCGAAACAAGAAAGTTTGTGGCAAACACTCAAAAGTTGGGAGATTGCTTCAGTCGTCGTTTCTCTTAACGGGAATTCTGTGCTCTAGTCCTTTTCGCATTCCTCAAATTCAACTCCGTTTAACTATGTTGTACGAAATTTCTGAAGATTCCAGACAGATCACATGGTTCTCGCAATTTCTACCGGAATTTCCATCTTTTGAGAAGCTGTAATTTTCCCGCTTTTTTCGGTTCTTCCGGTTGACGCGCGCGTCATTTTCAGAAATGGCGGGAAATCACTGTCAGTGTGACACATTCTAGAAGATGGCGTTGTTTGATAAGTTTTTGTAAGGATAATTAACAATTAGACCTCGAGGTCGAGTGGACTACGAGCTCGCTATTAGCTCGTAGTCCACGAGGCCGAGAGGTCTAATTGTTTTAGTATAAACATACTAATCGGTCAAATAATGAAAACAAGTTGAAATATCCTTCTTAAAATAATTTATAATTTGTTTATTTTGATTTTCCCTCGAGTGGTCTATCACAAATTAGACCATTTGTAGAGTAGCCAATCACAGCGCAGTATGAGTGATAGACCGTTAGTATGTCTATACTAATGAAAATATACCTTCATGTGAAGGTTTGTGCTGTAGTATGTCATTGGAAATATTTTGTCAGCACGGGGAAGAGCGGGATATCGGATGGATGGAAAAATCTTAATCTTTTTTAATCATTTTTTTAATCATTTTTGTGTATTTTGACTATACATATTGGATTGATTAATACTGCCATTTTATAAGGGGGGGGGGGGGGGTTGTCAGTAATATGTATAGCTAAAAACTAGAGCAATGCGTGTTGTCAAGAGTAAGAAAGTTGATCATTTGACGTCAGTATCTGTCTTTATTTACTGAATTTGCTTAGTATCCTGAGCAAACAAATCATTATGACTTCACCAAACCATTCTGTTTACTGCGGTTGCTTAGTAACCAGAGAAAATAAATCATTATGAATTCACCAAACCATTTTGTTTACTGCGGTTGCTTAGCAACCACCTACGCAGGTCTTTCGATTTGTTTACTGGAGTTGCTTAGTAACCTGACAAAACAAATCATGTTGAATTCACATACCCTTTTATTTACTGCGGTTGCTAAGTAACCTTAGAAAGCAAATCATTCATTGGCTCATAGGAACGTTCAAGTCGCTAATTCCGTAGATCTCTCGATGTGTTTACTTCTGTTGATTAAATAGTTACCCTGCAAAAACACACTGTTGTTTTACTCGCGTTACTAGGCAATCTGTAAAACAAATCATTTCATTCGTTGTTGAAAATGCTACTAGTAACTCTATCTCAGTGTCACATATCCATTTATTGCAGGCTGTTTAACCGGAGTACTACGAGAAAGATCGATCAGACATCCAACTTGAGGATAGACGTTTTGCAATTAAATCGCTGATTTTAGGAGTTTTAGTGCAATTCATAATGGGTTGTGCTAGTTCTTCTTTCCTTTTTGGAACACAACCACGAGTGATTTTCGTTAAACAGGCAAAAAATACAGAAGATCAAGAGGAAACAGAAACCGAAGATACAAATGCCACGAAATTGGCAGTTGAAATTCCAAAGGAAAATGAACACTTCATTTCATTTGCCGATAAAGATGGAACTATCAATCAGGCGGACGAGACAGGATCAGGGAGTCAGTTTGTTCGCTCTATTAGCCTTAGTGGGAGAAAACAAACTCGCCAAGAGAAACATTCTCCACATCGTAGTGTCAGCCTCAGTGCTTGGGAGTCTGTGAACAAGATGAAACGGAACGGAATTCCCAGTACAAGCCTCGGACAGTTCGGGCCTTGTGATTGTCTGGATACGTCGTACATACAAGAAAATGATAAGATAATAACTGACTACTGGCGTGTGTTAGTGGAAGATATGAAATGACTTACTACACTATCAGCAACAAGTACAATGTATAAAGGAAACGAAGCGTGCAATATTTTTCTTTCTTTTCTCTTTTAGATATCACCGCTTTTTTCTATATTGAT